CCCCCCCCTTCCCCCCCCCCCCCCCCCCCCCGCCCCACCCCCTTCCCCCCACTTTCCACCTTCCCCCCTCTCTCATACCAGAGAGAAGCCCGAGAGATTGCCCGGCCCCGTTTTGCGTGATTGGCGAATGCGATACGCCCGCTGGGAACATTGAAAACGTGGACATTGAACTGCGTAGCCAATGTTCACATTTTGCCAAGTGGGTAACGCAGATTTGCGAAATTTTGGTTGCGTTTCGTGTTATAGTCAGGTCCTGTACGATGCTCTTGTACTTAAGATTATTTTAAGTACAAGATCATTGCATGAGATCTAACCATAGCGCGGGACGGGGCTAAAATTGTGCAAATCTGCGTTACCCACTTAGCAAAATGTGCAAATTGGCTACGTAGTTCAATGTCCACGTTTTCAATGTCCACAGAGGGCGTATCGCATTCGTCAATCACGAAAAACGGGGCCGTGACATCTCTCAGGCTTCTCTCTGCTTGCACAAACCAGCCTTTACGCTCCATGTAACGCCGCCCTGAGGGTGGGGAGTGGGGACTGATTGTCAGTTAGAATATGGCGAATGTGTTACGTGGAGTTCTGACAAAATATTAAATTAATCTTTGCTTTTATTTGAACGCTCTAAAAAATATTGTACTAATTGTAAGCTAATATCCGGTATTAGGCTCATTCCCAGCGAGAAATGAATCGATCGATATTGAAACGATGTCGAATCGACATCAACAAATGTTAAATTGACGCCAATTCGACATCAATTTGAGGATGCGATTCGATATCGTTTCGACATCGATCGACAAATCATTTTCTCTCTCTTTGGATTGTTGCCTTTTAAAGATTCAAATCCGTTGTTTCATGCACGGTTGCAGTGAGATCGAATTTCTATCAGTTTCTCTTACGATGCGCAAGGCTTGAATAGTTCTTATGATAATTTTGCCAAAAAACCTATCTCTTTTGTAACTATTTATAATTTTGCTTGGTGAATTTCGGAATTGGCCTGCTGTCGCGTTAGTAACAAAACCGACAATTATTCTTTGATCAGTGTGTGAAAGCTGTGTACAATTACATTCCAGCAGGAATCTATTTTCCACTCGATCGCAAAAGTTTAATGGTAAGTATTTAGTTTTTAGTGGTTCAAGTATACACAAAAACATTCCTACGCGAGCTCAATGCTAGACGAAAATAAGTGACACTCTTGTGCTAGAATAAATGAGTGATAAGATGAAAAGCGAAAGTAAATACCACATGATATTATATTTTATATATTAAACATGTAATTTGTATGTACATTTGTCTAAAGAAACCTCAAGACGATTGCTAATTTTTAAATGTATTATTGAACTCCGTAATAAAGAAATATTGTTTTGCAAGCATTCATAAAACTGTATGAATCTCAAGCTTGGATATACTTGTATATTTTCTACATGACTTCATATTGTAGTTGAAAACGCTAGCTTTAGTTTGAATTTACTGTTTTTCCCAGGTGATGTTGTGTTTATTTTACGTTGAAAATGTATGAATTCTCAATTTTCTTATAAGAATTGATAATATTTGAAACATTTTTAACGTAATATAGAATTGTTTGACATGATACTAAAAATAAAATTATAAAATTTATCTTTTTTATTAATAAGGAAGATATGTGCTAAGAGATATTTTTTACGCTACTTAAAATCTAAGTTTTGGAATATATTTCAGCAGCGCGTCACTTAGTATTCCCAACAATGAATTCAATGCGATCGACAACTTTTCGGGGCAATGAGGAGTCGTCAAGATCGACACGGAATGAAGATCATAATTCTTATTCAGTTTTACGTTCAAGAACTGAGGAAGAGAAGCAGAGACGTAGACGAGAGTGGCAGCGCCAGCAAGAGCGTGAGAGACAGCATGAAAAGTTGAAACAGCAAAAGATTTTAGAGTATGAAAGGAAACGTGCGCAAGCTTTAAAATATGGCGAGGACAAATCCTCGCGTCATAGTCGAAGCAAAAGCAGTAGTGGATCTTCCTCGCATCTTCAGTACAGAGGTAGATCTGCATCAACTGCCTCCAAATCTGGTAGTCTACATGAAAAGTGAGTTTGCGACTGTACATGTATAACCACATGCCTGTATCTTTATTATGTTCCAAGCTTATATTGGTAGAGATAAGATGACTAGAACTTGGACATATCTTGAAAGAATATTTCAATGAGATAAAATAAAAAAATAAGGGGTAATTGTTATAAAACAATTTATTTGAAAAAATTGCTTACGAGATAATATAAGTAAATAGTATAAAAATACTTGCAAATTAAAGAAATGTTATTCTATTGTTTATTGGAAATTATTGTACTGTTACTTATCATCAATTTTACAGTGACGATGGCAGTAATAACATTTTTAAACAAGCATGACGTTTTATTAATAAAATAGGAAACTAAGACCGTTTTTATAAACAAGAGCAAACAGAAATCTAATTCTTTAGTTCGAAGAACCTGCCCAGAAAGAGAACACATTTTGCTGAAAAAAAGAATATCTGATCATTTTAATATAAAAACTATATTGATTACATTTAATTTAACACATTATGATTGAATTTTCTTTAGATTAGACGGGCCTTCAAGTGGAACAGTACCTTTGTTTAGAGGTCCTCAGAATGCACAGGTTAATACTATGGAATTGCGTCGCATTAAAGTTGATATTTACAGGAATATTCCTGTAAAAGGACCTGTCACTGAATTATTAGAACGAGATATACTTAATCCTGAAGATGTGATTGTCAAGAGAAGAGAGGGTAAAATGTTACATTTCTCTAAAATCCTTATATTTCTCTAAATTCTTACTGTTTCCAGAATTTTAATTATTATCTAGCACTGTAATATGAAGGATGGTGTGTACAATCAAAGCATTGACACTAATATGCAGTGAAAATGATATGTCTATTGTATCCGTAACATAAAAATTTTATTGTAGTAGTATTATATTGATACATTAATAGGTTTATTCTTTACATCTATGAAGAGTTTATTATAAAAAGTCAATTGTTAACTCCATGAAGAGAACTTCAAGTAAGAGAGCTACTTGAATAATGAAGAACATTTACAAATGTAGTTAAAGAAATTTTTCAACATAATAGAAGAAAGTACTTTATCTATTATTTTTGTTATGTGACTTTCTAAGAGATTTTCTTTTCTATCTAACAAGAGATTTCTATAAAGCAAATGGCCAATGCAGCAACTTTAAATGTTCTCATATGAGAATCCTAGTAGCACAGTACATTGGCTAAACGTTGGCTAACATTATCAAATATTGGGCCAATGTTTAACTAACGTTTGTTCAATGCACTGTGCTACTAGGGAACAATATGTAATGTATATCATAGTATATTTAAATACTTAAATAATATTTAAATATACTATGAGAGAGAGAGAGATATGTAATGTATATCATAGTATATTTAAATACTTAAATAATATTCAAATATACTATGAGAGAGAGATATATATACATTACATATCGTTCCCTAGAGAACGTGATCTTTATAAATATTATTTATATATTATTAATATCATAAGGGTATTTACGGTTCGTTCTTATTTCAAGACTGTTTGGTATGTAATGTCTTGGTATGCTAATACAACTTTGTACTTGTTAGTTTATAGATTACTTCAGATATTTTAAAGATAAGAATTATGAATTTCAGCCTATGAATATAATGCATGTTTGATGCATATACTTCTCTTTAATGCATGCAAATTGCTAATACTTTATTCCTAAACATAATCAATATTTATTAGCTTTCTCTTCTGTACTTATTTTTCTAAATCTAATGAAATATTTCATTATTTTATTTGCTTATATTTGTATGAAATTTTATTTAACCCTTTCATGATCACTGGGACATATTAATTCTATTTATGTTTTTTTGCTTCATATAAATTCTATTCATATCGTTTTTGCTTCTGTGGTTCCTTAGGCTGCTGTCTCAAAACTTTTCATGATTCACTAAAATGAGGAAATGATAAGCAAAACCAGGTACGTGGAAGCATTTTTTTTTAGTAATTTGTTTTTAAAATAGACTTAATGCGGTGAGAAAACTTGTATAATTTTTTATATGTGCATACTGTATGTGAAAAAACCAGTTTAAATAGTTATAAACATTAGTGATTTTTATTGACCGTATCTGGCAATTTTAATAATACAGAAAATTTATTGCGAAAAATATTACCTTGGAGGAAAGGAGCGGGGGATGGAGGGGACAGAGATATTTAAAAAATCGTGTATCGACAGTTCTGTGTGCGGCCGACGACCCTTATCGGCGCGTAGTTCTAAAAAGTCGAAATAAACGCATAAATAACATCTTTATACTGTTATTGTGACTAATATTATCATATGCCTCGGTGATCGAATTGGATGAGACGTCCGCCTAGAGTGTAGGGAAGTCCAGGTTCAAACACTGGCTGAGGTAATATTTTTCGCAATAACTTTTCTGTATTATTAAAATTGCCAGATACGGTCAATGAAAATCACTAATGTTGTTAATCACTGCTGGCAACTTTTAAGAATATTCTCAAATAGTTATAGTTTTTATTATTATATTAAATGATATTATATAGTTGTTTTAATGATCAATTTTCTTTACAAAATATTTCTTTTAATTAAATAAATTTAAGTTTATTACTATTTATGACTAAAATGTGGAACAGAAGATTTAATGGTGGAGATTTATTGCTTACTAACATTCAATTTTCTGTTAAATTAATAAATTGTTAAAATAATATAAATAAATAATGAAGTATCGCTTGTGTTCTATTAAAAATAATGACGTGTAATTAAGGCCAGGTTCAACAAGCTTTGTTTAATAAGGTATTACAATTATTTTAATAAAGAGTCTGTGATTACATTTGTACTCTAGGATTGCGTACGCGTTTCGGCACACAGTGCTTTCTTCAGCGCATATAGATTATAATATACTGCAAATGTACATATTAAAGCACTGTGTGCCGAAACGCGTACGCAATCCTAGAGTATAAATGTAATCACAGACTCTTTATTAAAATAATTGTAATACCTTATTAAACAAAGCTTGTTGAACCTGGCCTTAATTACACGTCAATATAAATAAATATATTATCTATATATCTAATTTAGTTACAATACAAATATATTCCTATCTATATTATGTCTTAAATATATTGTGTATAACTGTTTATTTTCTCAGAAATTTTAAAAATAATTTTGTGATTTAATTATTTTTAAAAGTATATACTTACATATACATATGTATATGAAGAAGAGTTTGCTTCATGGAAGATATTGTATCAGCAATAATAAAACTAATCAAATTGAAGATGTCTACAATAAATATAAAATGAAGTTGAATTTTTCGTAAATAATATTACAAAAGGGATGATACAATCGAATACAAACAATATTTGAAAATGGATATTCTGGAAGATATTCTACATTCTGGAAGATATTCTACATTCTGGAAGATATTCTGCGTTCTGGAAGATATTGTGTCAGCCCTTTAAAAGAAATGATACAAAGATGATTGAAGAAAATCTACAATCAAGAAAAGCCTAAATTATTTACAATTTAATTTTAGAAGCAATGACTGGAGATTATTTGAAATATATATTTATTAATTTATTAATGATATCTACTTGTAAAACTTGTTAAAATTGATTAATGTAAAAAAAACATGTACTTCATATACAAATTTTTTAATTTTTCAAGTTCTTTTTATATAAAAATTAAAAAGTTTTACTATATATGTTTATACTATGAATAATAATACAATGATGTAATAATATATTAATTTTTATCATTAATTTGTAGTACATATAGATCTAGAAGATATTCTACATTCTGGAAGATGTTTTACTTCACAGAAGATATTGTGTCAAGAACTTATTAAAATTTATAAATGCAAAAGAAACATATATGTATTTCATATAAACATTTTTTAATTTTTCAAGTTCTTTTTATATAAAAATTAAAAAAGTTTTACTATATATATATTCATACTATGAATAATAATATATCTGTAATGATGTAATAATATTATATATTTATTTTTATGATTAATTTGTAGTACATATAGATCAGCAAGATATTCTACGTTCTAGAAGATATTCTTGGAAGATATTTTACTTCACAGAAGATATTCTGGAAGATATTTTACTTCACAGAAGATATTCTGGAAGATATTTTACTTCACAGAAGATATTGTGTCAAGAACTTGAAAAAGAATAATACAAAGAATATTGAAGAAAATCTACAATGAAGAGAAGCCTAAATTATTTACAATTTAATTTTGGAAATCGCAATGAATGGTGATTATTTGAAATAGATATTTATTAATTTATTAATGATAATATCTACTTTTTAAACTTGTTAAAATTGATAAATGCAAAAGAAACATATATATTTCATATAAACATTTTTTAATTTTTCAAGTTCTTTTTATATAAAAATTAAAAAGTTTTACTATATACATATTCATACTATGAATAATAATATATGTATAATGATGTAATAATATTATATATTTATTTTTATGATTAATTTGTAGTACATATAGATCAGCAAGATATTCTACGTTCTAGAAGATATTCCAAATTTTGGAAGAGATTTTACTTCACAGAAGGTATTGTGTCAGCACTTGGAAATAAATAATACAAAGAATATTGAAGAAAATCTACAATGAAGAGAAGCCTAAAACATTTTATTTACAATTTAATTTTGGGAATCCAATGAATGGAGATTATTTGAAATAGGTATTTATTAATTTATTAATAATATCTACTTTTAAAATTTGTTAAAATTTATAAATGCAAAATGTATACATATATATTTGTTTATGTAAAAAAATAATTGTCTAAAATAAAAGTTAACAATAAAAATTAAAAAGAAGACAAGAACATATTGAACTAGATACTTTGCAATAATATAATTATTGAATATTACTAATGTTTCAAATTCTTACTTAATGATAATTATAAATTTTAAGGTATTAATAACTTAGATAGTATAGTGAATTTGCAAATTGTTTTTCAAGTTTTATGCCTTGCTGAATTGTAATTCTTCAGGATTTTATAGAAGAATGATTGGGGAAGTTACATGCGCCATAATAAACCTCAGAGAAATACTTCAAGATGAGCTGATTGTGGCTGATTCTTCAAGAATTCTTCAATATTTACTTTTCTAATTCTGCAGGTATTCTTTAAAATGAATTCTCTATGAACTTACGTTTACCTTTGTGCTATCTGGGAAGTATTATATATTAATTCCATGATACTGTAAGTTATATCACAATTTATCAACAATAGAAGACAACATAATTTGGAAGATAACTGATGTATTTTTTAATTAGAAGATGGTTTTCTAGTTACTACGGAAGTAACTATTCTCTTCACTCAAGATTTTCCAATCTACTACTATATTACATTTATCTAGTTAAACTAAATAATACATGACACAAAGTATAAGTTTTTATCAGATTTTTAGAAAGCTATACATATAGTGTTACTTATAGGAATATTTCCTAAGTTCGTTTCTTAAGATTGAGACGGGAAACTTATAGTCAACCCAACTGGCTAGTTGTTAAATTAGTTTATTACACAACGTTTCGACCCCATTATTTTTGGGTCCTTTTCGAGTGATACTGAGTCAGTAATCGTCGTCGAAAATGACAGAATCAAGTTATAAAATATATGTATACTTGTGAGCACTGTGGTGTCTAGACTCGAACATTTCGAGGCCAGTTGGGTTGACCATAAGTTTCCCGTCTCAATCTTTATTCATTATTGGTGACAATAAGAAAACTCTCCTTCGTTCGTTTCTTAAAATGTTTTCATTTAAAAAAATTGTTTTAGCAGTAAAATATTACATCAAAGTAGAAAAATATTAATTATTTATTTAAGAAGAAAAAATATAAATATGAGTAAAACGTTAATATATAAATTTTAATATCTTGCATATGTATGTGTCTTGCGTATAGCTTGAGAAGCAGATTAAAAAATAATCATGTTTTTGCAAAAAATTTAACTTAACATTGTTTATTTCGGAGCACTGATATACGTATATCAGAATATGCTTAAAACTCTAAACAAAGTAATTTCTATTTTTTATTTACAAATTTATACATAATCATAAAATATTAATAAGCGAAAAAGATTCTATTAACCTTTCCAATGTCTTAATAATTACAAACTATATTTATTGCAAGTGTTACATCATTCAAATATTATGCAATATTTTTATGACACTTTGAATTTAAAACTTTCGAGATATCTGTTATTTAAATTAACGCGTTTAGAAGTCGTAAGATATTGTATTGCTTTGTCATAAGCCAAGTGAATACTAATTTTATTTTTCAAAATAGTTTTTATTAATATTTCTATTGTTGCTATTACAATAATAGTTAATAATAATAAATAAAAAGCCAACAAGTAAATCTTAAGAAATCTAATTTAGATAATAAGAAAGATATGAATCATTCTTATCTCAAGTTATTTCTCACTTATCTATGTATATCTTGGCATTCTATAATTAAATAATGTAATAACTACGCAGGAGAAGGATGTAAACCAATATTCGACAGAGAAGACATAAAAAAAGCTACGATCAAACCTAACGAAGTAGAAGAACGACGTACAGTTGTAGCTATAGATAAAGAACCATCAGGTATGTATTATATAAACAATTATTATATTTATTAACTCTTGAACTGATTAAATTGAAATTAATAAATATACAAGTATACACCGAATGTTTTTCGAAGTACTTTAATTCTGTGAATAAGAAAAGTTAAAAGGTGCTTGTAATTAGAAAAACGAAAATGATCTTGTATGTCAAAAACTGATTAATATTTTAGTTTCTGATTTTTGAAACTCCATAATAAACATTATTATTTTTAAAAAATATAATACATATATTACAGCATTAATACTATGTAATATTACAGCCTCGACAATCAAGTCACGTACATCGAGAAGACGGTCTTTATCCCAGAGTCCAATTAGGACTCGTATTTATAGTTCTGAATATCCATCTTCCTATCAATCTAGGTTTGTATTACTCATGATAACAATATTCTCTTTGTAACACATGTACATTCTTTAATTAATTTCCCTCTGATTTTAGACATCGCATAGATTTGAAGCATCAGGATAACAAGACAGACAGTTATCATATTCGTAAAAATGAGGGGTACATCAAAGTTTTATTTAGTTGTAATTTTATTTACTTATTAATAGAAAACTTCAATCCTGTTTTTAAAATAAAAGCAAAAAGTATTATATAATTACAAATAATTAAATAACTGTTGTAGATTTCGGAAAAGTATAATTTCTTTGCATATTTTGTAGGAGAAGCAGTTTAGAGAAACACAGAGAATATAAAGAAAAATATGTAGAAGGAGATGCAAGTAAACACGACACTAATCGATCGCGTTCTAGAGAAGTGCATAACTCATATTCGAGGTACGGAGTAAAATCATTAATATAAATCATCTGCTTTTAATAAATTAATATTACTTTTATTATTTTAAATATGTAAATTCCCAGAGAACATGCATGTTTTAAAGATGTCTTTTAGACATGTATGTTTGCTGGGTTACTTTTAATTCGTTATGATATAGAGATATTAATGGGCGTGATTGATTTATTTGTGGAAAAAGGATGGCAAAACTATTCTTCAGTATTTATGGAAGTCATTCCTAATCGTTATTCTTACAGGTCATTTCTGGAAGAGAAGTCTTATCGCGACAGATATCGTGAGAGATCAAGTGAACGTTGTTATGAAAGGAGAGATAGAGATAGGGACAGGGAGAGGAATAGGGACAGAGATAGAGATAGAGACAGGGAAAGAGATAGAGATAGGGACAGAAATAAAGATAGAGATAGATCTAGGGAACGAAGAGAGATAGCGCCGCATTATATTGAGTCGCCAATACCTGTGCCTATCTATTATGGCGTATGTAAAATTTAATACTATTGATATAATGTTGTTGAGTTGTTCGAAAATTATTGAATTTCTAATATATGTATCTTTTGTTAATGTACATTTAGAGTTTCCCTCCGAGACCAATCGTAGTAAGTCCTATGGTTCCATTAGGTCCAAGAGGGCAAATGCCTCCTATGGCAAGAGGCAGACACCCTGCTTTAATGGCACCAGTTAGACCATTTCCACCACGATTTCCTCCAGATATGTACAGATTAGGACATCCACCTCCAAATCCAAGTAAATACATATCTGTATTACAAATAACTACAAATATTACACAGCATATTCTGTAGATTTAACTAGATTATGTATGTACATACGGTTATAACAATACGATATAATACAATATATAATACGAAATTCTTTTACAGGATTCGGACCATTTTAAAATAGTGGGACACATTTTTATAATGGTTATCAGTTATTTTGGGCTAAAGGCATATATATGTTTTACTTTATATTTGTAAGCGTAAGAAAGGGGGAAGAGAGAGAAGGAGGCATGTCATAACATATTTGTTAATTATTCTTTATCATCTTGGATATGCATTCAAAGGTTTCCTGTATTGCAGAATGTAGTATGTATTACAATTAATTATAATATTTGGATGAATTGAATACATTCTACATACATTGCTTCATCTCTTTCGTAAGGTCGAATCTTGTATAATTTTCACTTCTTCTGCTTAACACTCTGGACCAGAATGAGCGGTTAAACAGAAAACTGGAAATTGCGTAAAATCGAAATATGACCTTGCGAATGAGATCAATCGGCATGTAAAGTCTGTGCATGAAATCTATTTATATTATTAAAAAATAATATATTTAAAGAGGTGTGTATGCGGATCTATATACATGCATATACACACGTACATAAATATACATATATGTATAATTATATAAATTGTTTTTTTAACTGGTACATTACATTTATTATATAAATTGTTTTCTTAAGTTTTCAATGTACAATATCATAATATATTATTGAAAAAGCATATATGTAACACATATTGTTCTTAATTTTCAGTAATTGTAAATTTTGCAATATATTCTGTAAATAGAATTGAAATATTAAATTATATATAAGATTTGAAGGCATTCGTTCTTCTTTTTAGGAATATCTTTGTAATATAGTTACAACCTTTCCTCTTCCGATTTTCTTTTCCAAAATAAGAGAAATATGTTTCTTTCATTTGTTGCCATTTAATAAGGGAAGTTTTATCAAGATAGATACCATGAGAGATTGTATAAACGTTTTTATGAAACAAGAGAAGTAAATCTAATCAGAAGCTCTGAGATTCCTTCATTTTGTAGCATTTGGAGAACACAGAGTTCTCCAATTTTTTACTTATATATTTTTTAAAGTCTGTTAAGTAGGTCGAAAGTTCTGTCCCCTTTGTCCCGTAATGTCTAATTCAGTTATAAAGAACAGATTTAAAGGTAATATTAAATATGTTATGGTTATACCTAATTAATCTTATAATCAACATAATGCACATAATCAAAGTTTTGCTACTACATAGGTTTAATTAAAATTTAATAATTTTTTCTTTATTTTCTTTTTCACAAACGTCATTTAACTTTGATGGTTAGGGCTTAAATTATCTAAGTTCGCTCTTATAATGACTGTGTTTTAAGATATACCAACATGCTTAGAAAATTGTCCATCAAATTATTACATTTAATATTTTTAATATATGTACATCAATTGCTACGCATCTTCTGACACACGCGCCAGTGGAAATGCATTCTAATTCCGCCATATTCAGCCCAACACGAAGTAGACCAATCACAGTCCAGCGGAAAATGCCCGATATCGACGGCCCTCGTTCGGAATTGACCCATCGCTTCTGCACCGTTCTGCACTCCTGCGTGCTCCCGAGTTCTCACAACACCATCGTGGCCATATCAAAATCTGAGCCTTTTGATACAGAAATTTCGCGGCCACTGCTTTTCTATTATCGTATACGGTCGTATGCGCCTTTCGCCAAATCCGAATGCCATGTATCGCACGTTTGGCGAGCACTGATCATTGTAATAGCTGGATGATCGTGAGTTGAAGTGCCGTTGATGACCCAAGCCCGGCTGTCCGCCGATCATTCGCTATTAAACTCACCTCTCTGAAGGCTCCCACGATAAGCACTGGCAGATTAGTCGCACTTTTACATACAGACTGCGGGAGAGGAACTATGTAGTTGCGATGGTTGCGAGCGCAGCGACTGATATGACTGGATCTATATATCATGAGCGACAAGTAACTCGTTAATTTTGTTATCCCTTTCGTAGGTTTTTACGTTGCACTTGCGTCGCGCAGAAAACTCGTCGCCGTACACGAGGCGAAGTAATCGGCCGTACAATTCCGACAATGTCTTTGCACCGCTTTCAAGAAAGTTGCTCCTTTTCACGTTAATTTGTTGCACACCTCTCGCCAAGATCACACGTTGATTTGTAGGTGAAGGAGCTGTGCGCGCTACACGCGTTGAACAACCTGTTCCAAGAGCGTGGGTTCAGCAAGCAGGAATTGGATCAGATCTGTTACAGTCTAAGTCCCGACGTGTGGATCAATCCTCACAAATCGCTGCTAGGACTTGGCAACTATGACATTAACGTTATCATGGCCGCTCTCCAGAGAAGAGGACGCGAAGCTGTATGGTTCGACAAACGTAGGTCCGTATGTTCACATTTGCCACGAAGAATCGCGTGGATCGCGACTTGGTGCATGTTCGTTAATTGCTCCTCCTGTTTTAGGGATCCCAAGTGTCTTCGTTTAGACAACATCGAGGGTTTTATACTTAACGTCCCGACCGAATACAAACTAGGCTTTGTGCTACTTCCTCTGAAACGACGCCATTGGATTGCTCTGAAAAAGATACACGGTGCCTTTTATAATCTTGATTCAAAACTGGACTCGCCGCAACTAATAGGAAAGGTAAAGTGTAATAAACTTTGGAGATGAAGGCACTGATATGTTCTTTTTGCGTAATATTTAACTTTGCATTTTTTCTGACATCAGGACAACGATTTACTCGCATATCTAAAGGATCAGATAGATAGCAAGGAGAAGGAACTGTTCCTCGTTGTTTCCAGAGAAATCGACAGCAATCAGGGATGGTTGATGGATACGTGCGAAAATAAAGACGACAATAACGTGGATCACGATTCCATTAGATATATCGAGGATGGATATCCGGATATAGAACTGAAAAAGTCCGAGTCCAAGGAGATGAATGAGAACGAGGAATTCCTGGATAACAAGAATTCTAGATAATTGGGGCCACACGCGCCATGCTCCACTCGACTATTTATTTATTCATTCCCCTGTTGCAATTTTAAAGAAGGGTGATTATGGTCGTCGCAAGGTAACGGACTGGAGTTACGTAGGGACAAAGAGAGAACAAAGAAACGATGGAGATTACACATAATAAATGTCTCACCGAGCATTTCTCAATGCTTTTATTTATATCTATGTGTTAACACGAACGTGGTATTTTTATTTATTTATTTAATTAGAGAAAGTCATTCGTATATTATATACTATTTATAATATATTATGCGCAACAGCGCATTTTAAGAAGCAACGTATGTAAGATATATAGTGTTGTATTTAAAATGGAAATATTGCTTTATGAAAAGTTAACGTGCATAAGAAGAGAACTCGTATTTAAGCAACAGCTACTCATATGAAAGGGTATAAATGTGTGTACATCTACCGTGATATTATTTATATGTGATAATCATATCTGTCATTTTAAAAAGCTTGTATAAATAAACACACTTGTAATATGAAATTGTTACGATACATCCTAAGTACAATCTCACAATTCTCTTTTACACAAATAAATATTGCCGTTTCGTAATGTAATTTATCCTGTGTATGTACATATAGGACGATATTAAGCCGACATTATTATTTGTATTATAGGGGCATAAAATTTATTTATATACACATCACCTGCATATGTTTAAATAAGCGTTGAATCGATTAGCAATAATTTATTTATTTTTATTGTTGTACCATAAAAATAAAGGATCGATCAGCCAATGAACCAACTATACAAAATATACATCGTACAAGTAACGTCGTTATTGTCACATCACCACTTTATTGCCAGCGCTGTGTTCATTTTTTGTATCTCGTGATACTGTGTGTTGAAGTACGCGCCAACTTTGTCTGTATGCTCTCCTCCCAGCCAAGTTTTGTACAGACTCTGCACCACTTTGTTTTCCTCGGGTTTGCTCTGCGGAAGTTCGCGGTACATATTTTCCAACGTTGACGCGAGCTCTCGAGGCTGAACGTTCCCGTCGGGTCTCACTTGCGCTCCGCCGTTCAAGCAACCTAATAATGATAATAATTGCTTTAAATTTAGTCATAATGTTAATGTAGTGTTGACGCGAGGCAATACTTACCGCACGGGCATGCCATAATTTCGACGTAGTCGTAAACGCATTTGCCCCGTTTCATTTTCTGTACTATATTCTGTATATTCCTGAATCCATTGATAATCGCAAATTTTAACAACACTTGGTCGTCTCTCTTGAATTCTGCCTCCCGGAAGTCGGGATTTCTCAGATTTTTGAAATCTACTGTGACATTATCCTCGTCGAAGAGACTCTTCGCTGCGTAACGAAATATGAAATCCGCGTAGCCGCCTGAACCCGAGCCGCTATGACTCCACAATCTGCTTCCAGTTTTTTCATCGTACGAACCGAACGGTTGTTTGATATCGCCGTCGTCTATTTCGTTTAATGCTAAACCCTCTTCGCTCAGCATCTGTTCCAATTCGACTGAAAGACACCAAGTTTACACCATAATTTTAACAATTCTAAACGATTTAATGTAAAAGTATGAATACACGTATATACTTGACGTTATGACGCAGTCTACGTCTCTCGTCTTTCTCTGCTGATTGTAAAAGTCTTCTCTGGAAGCCTCCAGCTTCTTGTCATAGCAGGGCATTACAGTCACGTGATATATCTGTTCCGGCGTCAGACCCATCATTTCAGCCAAGTGATACTTCACTAATGATCCCATAATTTGTTGGGGCGACTTTGTAACGCTTATGTGCGGCAATATAAAATTTCCGTGAGTTTTCTCGGCGTAGCACACCCAGCCTGTCACAGAAACAAGAATATTGCAGACTTCACGAATTGGCCAGCAGTAATTTTCATAAACGAATATTCATCCCACCTGGACACGAAGAGGACAACATTGGTATCTGACTTTTCACGCCCTCTTTATTAGCTTTGTAACGCTCGACGAACTCTTTAGCAGCTTCCAGCAAAACAAAGTCGTCAGCCACCGTCATATCTAACACAGCGTCAGCTCCCAATCGACAGAAGAATCCTGCCAGTTTACAGAGAGTTTGCTCGGGGGTGAGTTCGTAACGTTGCGCCAGCGACAACACAGGCTGCACCGACAGGCTCACTATTATATACTTGGAATCCGTACTTCCTACATTCTGCAAAAGCGCAAAAAGTATTGCGATACAGGGATAAAATAAATTCAGAGTACGTCATGTAATTTTGCGCATCTCGTTGCGAAAGCAAGTATTAACGCGTAACAGCTATTCTTCACCTGCTGAGCCACTTTCTCCTGGAACACCCTGAGCAGTTCTTCCTGACTTTGTTGAGTAATCAGCACGCTCTCGGCAGACGTGATGCAACCGCTGCACGCTAAACAGTCGGTGAGCGTGATCTCGACCTTTTGTAGTTTCTCCGGCTGCCCAGTCTGCGTGACAAAGGAAGCTCTAGTCCAAGGTTTCAAGCTAGAATTACATTGCAACGAATGGCGTAGATATTTACCTCGTTGAGCGCCAAGTGGGCATTGTCCGACTGTATCTTTATCTTCGCACCCGTCTTGCTTTTGCTCGCCTGCATCTCTATAGGCTTGATGCATTCCTGTAACAAACGTGATTGAAGGCGGCGTACGAAACTTGTACGGCGACTGGATTATCTAAGAAAGACGCTCAAGTCTGTTATACCTGCGACGGGGTGATGAAGTCATCCAGATTTGTAATCTGCAACGCTCCGCTGAATCTCGACGTCATGTTCTCTTCTCAAAATTCACCTATCGCATTCAGGTCCCACGGGGATACTCTCTTCTCCTTCTTCTCTGGTTATTGGCTCCCGGCTCACAGACACTGAGCCGACACGGCCACGTCGAACCAATAGACTTAATGGTATTGCTTGGAATGTAGTGAATTGAACGATGCAATGGCCCGGTAACCGGGCCACACGCGGGATGATGCAATCCCGCAGGATCAAAAATTTATCTTACGTCGGAAGACGTGTGAACCGCTCGACGGCCCAGACGGAACTAGGGGATACTCTCTGCAAACACACGAGTTATGTGAAAGATAGTCGCGTACAAAATTATCTGCCTTTTATAAACACAAATGTCGTTCGACTGAAAGAAATGCCTTTTGGGTTTTTAAAGCCTGATCTGCAATGCTATCTCCAGAAATATTCTACTTTATATAAACAAGTTAAAACGCTTAAGCAATGGCTGTGTTCTGCAGAAGTTAGCGCTTAATAAGCGCTTTATGCTGATTGGATAGATCTAGAAGAATAGCTCTATTTCAGCACAGATCTGAAAGTATAATCCAATGGCTGTGTTCTCCAGAAGTTAGCGCTTAATAAGCGCTTTATGCTGATTGGATAGATCTAGAAGAATAGCTCTATTTCAGCACAGATCTGAAAGTATAATCCAATGAACGCAAAGCGCTTAGCAAGCGCTAACTTTTGCTGGACACAGGCAATGGCTGTGTTCTGCCGAAGTTAGCTAAGAATAAGCGCTTTATGCTGATTGGATAGATCTAGAAGAATAGCTCTATTTCAGCACAGATCTGAAAGTATAATCCAATGAACGCAAAGCGCTTAGCAAGCGCTAACTTCTGCTGGACACAGGCAATTTCTCGACAATGTACAATATACAATTTATCGACACGTATGCATTTTTTGAACGTATCAGTTGACTACAGAATAGAATTTCTCGACGTAAACACTGTACATTGTGGATCAGGTTTAAGAAACGTTCGTGGATTATTTTCTCAATCCACAGCTCTGCGTCAAGTCACACAGCGACGCAAATGTATAGCAGAGTCCCAATCTGATTTTTTACGTCTGACAAACATTGCCTATCGCTGTTGGAACTGAAGACGTTAACCTCTTCCAGCTTTGGAGCACAAATGACTCACCGGGAGCTTCGAAATCTCTCTAGCTCTGCAAACGAGTTCTCCGTATCGCGCGGCTCATTCGCATACCAAGACCAAAAATGAAACGGGACATGCGGGAGGCGGAAGTGTCTTCTCATCGGGCTGGCGCATAAATTCCGCCGTTTCGACGAGATGATTTACGATCGTGGCAACGTGCTCTCCTACGCCGCGATGACTCACTGACCTGCGCCTGAGCCACAGCAACCGCTCCACTGCGCGGGGTAGTCGCGTCAGCATCGCCCGAGGGGTTTGCGACTCGCTTTGCGAGATTGCGACGATGACGGAGGTGAGGAAGGACGATGTTGTAAAGATACTTCACACCTATCCGTTTTGCAGAGTGAGTAAAGAGTACGCCCTGTACCTCGTGCAAATTTGTCGCGCGGATCTGCGCGCTGCGTAGGCACGCGCGAACGTCAACGTTTTGATCAATACGGAAAGCGCACGTCTCGCCTACCCTCGAAAACAGGGAGCACACTTTGTGAAATTACGCGACGCAATCTAGCAAATTTCTAATCTGTAATTACACGGATGTATATTTAAAAAATACATACGGGAATGTTGATTTTTTAAAATAAAACATTAATACTTGTTTGTGTTAATTAATTTCGAAATAACATTTCGGCGAAATAGTAACGATATGGCGGATCCTAGCGATACATTTGCAAGATTAAGGCTGCGGTCAAGCTGTCGCTTCAAATGTTACGGAGTATTCTTCTTCTCTTTTCTTTTAGTAAAGATAGAAAGAGAAGAGAAACGCTTCGAAACGTTTGCAGCGGCAGCTTGACCATGGCCTAAATTATGGAAAGAAATTGTGTAATAATTGAGAAAATATTTTAGTTGATTTATATTTAAAGTACACTAGCGGCCTTACCCGGCTTCGTTTGGGTCTTCTGTCTCTTGAATCACCTTTTTGAATATCATCCTTGTTCAGTATCTTTTTTTAATCAAATATAAAATGGACCATTACGATGTAAACAAGCGAGAGTGCTTTTAGGTCCGAGCAATGTTGGTAGTCTAATAATTGTAATCTAAAATGTGAATTCATATACCGTTTTCCACCTTGTCCTGCGCCGGTTTCTTTTTGGACATGACACAGTTTCATTTAGATGAAATCATTTTATCATCTTTTTTAAATTTTTCTTTATACAATATAAATTTCTTTAAATTCTATTCAAATTAATTTTTCCAGCTTTTCTCGGGTAATATTAAAAAATACACAATACCGAGCCCAAAAAACTCTTCTTTCTTTCTTTATGGAAAGAAAATCTGTAATAATTGGAAAAATATTCAATATTTAAAACATTTAGAAATAGAATTGTGCACGAAGGAATCAAATTGTGTATGTAGAAATGCTCAATTATTTCTAGATTATAATGTAGAAAATAAACATCGCAATATGAAATAATAATATACATTTAGCACAACAAATTTTATTTTAAAATCTTTATATTCCAAATTGAATTTGTCACATTTTTGATAAATATCGTTTAGAAATTTTATATCTGATGAGACACTGCTGCGTTATGGAAAATTATCTCAGCGCAATTTTTGCAAAATTTTCATTAATTCATAATGTCACTATTGTGCACTGTTTTTACAATTTGCCTCTCGGAGTACGCGCTTATCCAATTAACGCTACTAATTTAAAATCGAGAGGACACGCACTTTTTTTTATCAGTTTCCGAATGAATGTCAATTTGATTTAACTTTAATTCGTTGTAATATCTAAAAATTATTTGACGAGGAACTTATTGAAAATTTCAAGAAATCACAATACATTATCATCACAAAAATTGTCATCCAATACGGAATAAATATGTTTCCACGTACGCTAGTACAGTTGTAAATTATGGTGATTCTTTTAACAACGTTTAAACGTTTATTTCTACAGAAATGTGATATGTCCGACGAGATGAAGCAAGAAGCAATGGAATTATGCGTGACCGCGGCGGAAAAGTACGCAGACAATTACGAGAGCGTCTCTCGGATGATCAAGGAGACGATGGATAAGAAATTCGGCGCCTCCTGGCACACCGTCGTTGGAGAGGGCTACGGCTTCGAGATAACTTATCAGTTGAAGCACCTGCTGTACATGTACTGCGCCGGTAATTTGGCAATATGCATATGGAAATCCGCATAGTGCGGCACTGCTGGCGCCTCCAATTTCTTTTACATACACCTATTTATATATTTATATACTTTATATACGTTTGATTGTACGTGTAAAGTCGTCTTTCATATGTGTGTGTGTGTGTGTGCAAAGCGTATATGTAAACTGTTACGAGAAAAGAGGGAGAACGTTTCTAATATCTCATAAGTGTGGGTCCAATCTGTGTTTAAGAGTCAAATGTCTTATATGCATATTATTGTAATTAAACACACTTACATATTAGAAACAGAACTAGTGACGCGATAATCTCACTCAGATATATCGATGTGGAAATATTTTTCAGTACAGATTATTCAACTATTCCCAGGTAGACGTTACGTCAGCATATAATATGATCTGCATGGTGACAAAATTAAAAAGTTGAAAGGTGACTGCGTAAATATTCAAAGACATGTTCTCATGACACAAGTTGTTCAGCAAATAGTGAAGGAGTCTTCCGATGCAGTAAAAATTGCGATATTTTGCCGAGCAGAGCGCAAATAATCCGACATTATTGGAGCAGTAAGAAGTGTTAACATATTTTGCGATTGCAATCACAAAGTATGTGTAAAATGTTTGCATGCCCGCATTCAGCATGTCTACCTGAGATTATTTATTATTTAGGAGCATTTTAACACGCAGTAGTATATAAGAAGATATAATAATATAAAGGAAAGTCCTCCATTATTAGAGATAGGTCCTCTATTATAGAAATAAGTTTCTAATATGAGATAGCAGGTTTCCAACACCCAAATTCAATCACAAATCTTTTCTCGCAACGATTACACAATCCAACAATGAATTTTCCACTAAACAGATTTCGCTCCAGGGGCAATAAATTCATGGCGGAATCAACTGACGATGCCTATTGATTTAACTGAAACTCCGCTATCCCATCTTAGGATCCTATAACAGGGGACTTTCTTCTAATAAAAAATATATAATAATATTATATAATTAAGATTCTACGCGTTAAAATGTACTCGATCCTTTGTACGAAGACATAGCAATATGTTTGTATATTTAGAAAATTCATATACGTTCATATGCAACACTTGAATTCCTTTTATATATAAAATTCATCAGAAACCTATAACCGTCCTCCACACGAGAACTGCTATGTTACCCCCAATAAACATATGTAACAAGGATTTTTCTTGATACGTGGTTGCACACGCGTAAGCCTCCCCGACGACCACTTGGAACGGCGGCCCGAATTTTTTATCGAGATTATCCTTGATCATGCGAGCCGCGTGCTCGTAATTCTCCGAGTATTTTTCAACAGCGGTGACGCAGGTCTCTATGGCTTCCTGCTTCATGTCTTCCGGCATGTCGCTGTGCTGGGGGGAAAAGCTCTCTGCTATTAGAATTGAATTAATATTGCAAATCCCCCTCACCCCGGGATATAATATTGTAAAGCGGGTCAATTTACCTTACATAATGGATATGTGTGAACCACCAAAGCCGCGACGTCCTTCTTTACCTCCCCAGCCCACATTTTACAAAAGAGTCGCTTCAATTATTTTGTTGTACGTTGCGCGCGACAGCGAAACACTCTGTATTTTGTGCTTTTAATATCCGGCCAAAGCCATGCAATTAATATACATACTTGGTTAGATTAAAGATGTTTAAATAAATGTTTAAATAAATGTTTAAACAAATGAGCGCACGACAGTACATTGAAATTTTCAAGAGAAAGAAGCAGTACATTTTTCAGATAGCTCGCGTGTCTAAAAGATGTCTCTACGTCTTTTAGACATACGTGCTGCTTGGATTATAATGAGATAATTATTACTTTTTAAAATGCAACTTCTTACAAGTCGCATTTTGAAGTTACCGCCATTTGAAACTATTGTAATAAACCGTCAAACCTTTTCGGCACAGTTTGGTGGCTCTAATGAAGCCAATGTCCACTTCTACCAGACGTGTTTAACTTAAATTTAATCTCGGTTTAATTTACTTTTCATCCTTTTCCATGGTGCAGTGATAGTAATTTATTAGAATTGCAAGCAATCCAGCGGGAAAAATAGCATCGTCTGCAGCGGGCTTTAAATCCGGTTTCATCAACGTTGTTTAATTTCAAGGCTAAAGCCCGCTGCAGACGATGCTATTTTTCCTGCTGGATTGCTTGCAATTTAGTAAATTACTAGGAATCCTGAATGCTGAGTGGTGCAATGATAGTAATTTACTAAATCGCAAGCAATCCAGCAGGAAAAATAGCATCGTCTGCAGCGGGCTTAAAATGTTACATTTGTCGTACGATAAATTTTGTTTAAGTGCGCGATTGGCTGCGAGACAGTAAAATTTTCGAGTATCTAGAAATTTTTCGAAAAGATAAGAGGCAAATCAAATTAAACCGAGATTAGAGTTTAATCTACATTAATAGAAATGGACATAAGGGTGTGTTTCCACTGAGCGCGCACGTCGTGCCCGATAATGCGTGGTCTACAATGAGAGTCGCAGAGTCGTAGTCGACATTGGGTTTGTATTTTCTGTTCCTGCACTGGTGAACTAGTGCAGTAAGCTAGAATGAGAAAAAATATGCTTGTCTTACTCCAATTTATTGCACTAGTTCACTAGTGTAGGAACAGAAAACAAGCCTATTGTAGACAGAACCGAGAATCATTGTAGCGGAGGCTTAAGGCCTTCACACATAAAATTCCGTAAGGACGTAAAACGTAAGCGTAAGAAAATCAACAGGTTGGATTTGCTACTGCTTGCGTCATTGCCTTACGTTCTCGACTGTGATTGGTCGATTTTCTTATGCTTACGTTTTACGTCCTTACGGAATTTTATGTGTGAAAGCCTTTACATAGACGTTGTAAAGTCGTAGTCGTAAGAATAGTCGACTGTGATTGGTCAATTCTTATGTATCTGACGGAATTGACCAATCGCAGTCCATTATTCTTACGACTACGACTTTACGACTTCTATGTAGACGAGGCTTAAAGCCTCCGCTACAATGATTCTCGGTTCTGTCTACAATGGTCGTAGTCGTAGTCGCTCGATAAGAATTGACCAATCGCAGTCGATTATTCTTACGACTACGACCATTGTAGACAGAACCGAGAATCATTGTAGCGGAGGCTTTAAGAATAATCGTCTGCGATTGGTCAATTCCGTCAGACACGTAAGAATTGACCAATCACAGTCGACTATTCTTACGACTACGACTTTACGACGTTACGACTTCTATGTAGACGAGGCTTCATCCAATCGGCACAAAGCACCCACCGGGCAAATCTTCGCCGGCGAACACAATCTACATTTTCTACGTCTATGACAGCGATTGCGATGGCGCTAGTCTCGCGTCCTTGAAGTTCTTTCGCTGGCGCGCGCCTGTCAACGTGACGCGACATTTCTGGCCATTTCTCGCGCCTCTCTTCTACGTCGTCCCTCGGTCCTTTTGATACGCGCGACCGTGCATCGCGAGGCGTCCTTTCCTCTGCACGCATGATTGCGGCCGAAAGTGACACGAGTGCAAGGAGCGTCCCCGACATCCCGACGACGGCACCACCGACTGCCGCGACACGTTAACATGTCTGCCCTTCAGAAGTCAATTTTGAAGTCCAGACTACCGCCGTCGGCGGTCAACTTCTCGGCGTTGAACTCCAGGTTCGTGCCGGTGCTCCCCGAACAATCGTCGGAGACGGAACTTCGAGTGGAAAGAGACGAGGAAAAGCTGCAGCGAAATCGATACACAATGAATTATCTTACTTTTTTCTTTCTTTTCGAAGACTCGGCAAGTCGAAGGGAGCGCAGCGCAGAAGAGACTACGAGCCGGTGCGGTGGAATCCGTACTTCGATCATTCCAAGGACGTGCCAGTGGGACACAATGTTTTTCACGTTTACATCAAGGGCACGGAGGGGCCGCTGTTGGTCTTGTTGCACGGTGGTGGTTACAGTGGTTTAACGTGGGCCGAGCTTACAGTGAGTATCGCCTACGGCTGCTCGTAGCGCGCCGCGGGAGTGACTGACACGTTGTTATCAATTTTAGAAATCGATTATGACAATGGTGTTATGCAGAGTCATGGCTATTGACCTTAGGGGTCACGGGGACACTCACACCACAGAGGACGAGGACTTGTCTGCAGACACCTTAGCATTGTGAGTGAAATGTACTTTAATTTAGCTTTTATTATTTTTCTTTCCTTCTCTGTTTAAAATATTAGACGATACGGTCAGATTACATGCAATTTTTATGTAAATACGTAAGAGTTATTAATTAACATTTGAAATTGCACGTAATCTAATGTAATCCGGTCATATTCCATCTAATATTTTAAACAGGGTTGATTACAGGTTTTAAATCTGCGATGCGCTTTAATCTTAAGGGTCTTAGCGGAATGGCTGGTTTATAATTTCAAGACGATGTAAAATCCGAGGGGGAAACCGCTGAGGGCATTGTGGTGTACAGATTTGCAGCATTACTGGACATTACTAGGCATTTTTTTTGGGCATTAGTTTGAGCATTAGGCCTTGCTGGAGTATTATAAAGATAAAATGAGATAATAAGATAAAGCAATGCCCAGTGGGCATTGGTGTACAAGATTTTGGTCAGCGGTTTCCCCCTCGGTAAAATCTTTTAATAGTCGTACAGTGAACTCGTTACTTTTGTACGTTTACATGCATACATTTGTTCCTGGCAATTGTCTCTGTAAACGCATTGAAAACTTGAAATACAAGAGGTAGTTTTTGTACATTACTGAAGACAAAGACTTGGAGCGTGAAGCATTGGCCGCGTTCAGCAGACACAACTGTTGAGTGAGCGCTCAGTATGATTGGTTAATACTTTTAGATCCAGCCAATCATATTAAGAAATCACTGAGCGCTCACTCAACAGTTGTGTCTGCTGAACGCAGCTATTGCTTTGAAAGTACAAGGCAGCCATTCTGCTGAGGCCTTAAAGGTGAATACGATAGAGTCAAGAACTTTCTGTGAATGTAAAAGTCTGTAAAGCTGTATGTATCCATAGTGGCAGGATCTTCAGTTTTCCAACACTTGATCATTTGATGAAGGTTGCGGTCAAGCTGCCGCTACAAACGCCTTCGAAGCGTTTCCCTTCTCTTTTCATCTTTACTGCAAGAAAGGAGAAGAATACCTCGAAACATTTGAAGCGACAGCTCGACCGCAGCCTGAATCATGTAAAACATCTTTGTCATCTTTGATACATTCTTTTCTCATCCAGGGACGTTGCAGCAGTTGTAGATGCAATTGCAAATGACGTTCCAATAATTCTCGTCGGTCACAGTATGGGTGGCGCGATAGCTGTAAGAGCAGCTCCGCTAATCCCAAATTTATATGGATTAGGAGTTATTGATGTCGTAGAGGGTACGGCAATGGACGCGTTAACCTCTATGCAAAGTTTCTTAAGGTCTCGGCCGTCTAGTTTTAGCACCATATCTCAGGCTATAGAGTGGTGGTAAGTATTCTTTATGCTTCTGATACGTTGATCATTGTATCGCGACAAGTGTGCGCCTCAAACAGTTCGTTTGCTACCTGAAAATAACTAGATTAGATCCTCAACAATTTAGTTGTTTCTTAATTATCGTTAATATTCTTATTTATCGTTAATTAATACTTTCAGCGTTCGTAGCGGACAGATTCGGAACATACAATCGGCCAAGGTTTCGGTTCCTGGACAGATAAAGAAGTTAGTGAGTTCTTAAGGACACTTAGGCCTTTTTAATACTTTTGTATTGATGTTTAAATAAATCGAGTCATTGCAACACACGTGCCATTTCAGCATTGAAACTAGCAAATTAGCAACTCATGATATTGACTCATTGCCAACCCAATACAACACGTGTGAATCTAATCCAGAGCCAGTTATACCGCGAGATGATATTATCCAAGAGGAAGAGTCATCAGCCAGCATGCCACCGCCGCCACCCGCGTCTTCTGCTACCGCTACTAACAGAAAGTATGTCTGGAGAATAGATTTGGCAAAAACGGAGCAACATTGGCTCGGTTGGTTTAAGGGACTGTCGACGGCATTCTTGAATATCCCTGTACCGAAAATGTTGTTGTTAGCCGGAGTCGATAGATTAGATCGCGAACTCACCGTAGGGCAAATGCAAGGTAATATTACCTTCAATGCTGATGACGATGCGTAACTTTTCCGTCTTGATGATCGCTTGCCTCTTCATGAACATAGGTAAATTCCAAATGCAAGTATTGCCCGCTTGTGGACACGCTGTTCACGAAGACGTCCCGGATAAGGTAGCGGAAGCTATCGCTACGTTCATGGTCAGGCACAAGTTTGCAGAACCAGCGTCGGATTTTCCACGGTGAGCTAAAATGTGCTCCCCCCTATTTTCGTATTTACGATTTCATCAATATTATAATTTTTGTGAGATCCTCTATTCAGAGAGGAGATACTTTCTACGTGACTTTTACGATTTTTGTGAAAAATATATAATTTGTTGTTACGATTGTTTCAGGACTTTTCCAGCTTGTTAAGAAAAAGAGTTACACGTTTGTAATGTAAACGTATAAAATAATATAAAGTTTTTTTTTTAAATTAGTTAATGTAATAATAATTTTATTTATTTCATGAGATTATAACCACCAAATATAGAAACATATATCATACATGTGTAAATAAAGACATTTATCTTGATGAGAAAAATTAATTTGTTCTCATGTATGTACTTACATTCTTCTTTTGTCAGAGTTCAGGCTTAATAAAAATTTGATTTTTACAAAGTTATTGGTATAATTTTATCTACAGACATCACGATTACATCAGGTATTTATACTAGGGGTATGCATGAGTTTCCAACTTGAGATGTTGCTAGAAAACGTAGTGAATTACTTGAAGCAGTTTTTTTTATTTTAGTAATATCATCTAATCTATTTTCTCGCGTGTATATAACACTTTGTATCTGTTGACATGATTTGACTTTTAGTTTGCCAAAAATGAGTCGATTAATTTATCGTCTCAAAAGACATGTCCTTTTAAAGGAAAATCCATTTCTTGCCAGAAACATGGCAAAAGATCATAGATGCAGAGATGCAAATATTGTAATTAATATTGTTGACTCAACAGATTGTTTAATAAAGAAAATGTGAGTAAAAACAACGGAAACTTGTGTATACCCGTAGTATCTACAATATATTTATTTCACTCAGTTTCTCTTCGACACTCTTGGTTTGTACCACTCGTTCCTAGCAAAGATGGATTCACAATTTACTACATATGATTTATTAGACAAAAATATAGACATTTATGAAAAGTAATGTTATTTTTATGAGATAAAACAATTATATATGTGCATATTTTATTGAAAATTTTATATTGTAGATTAATCAAATGGATACAAATTATCACAACTTTGTCAAATTATTCGTTACACTGACAATTGATATAAAATCGAAATATATGTATACGTACAAGTGCCAAATATAATGTTTGGTAGTTACAATGGTTGGAACTTTCTTCAATATAGTACGAAAATGTGTAAAAATCCTATAAAAATCGTTACATGCTAAGAAATATAATACTTATTTAAATATCAAATTATCTAAAATTGTTTCAGAAAAATAACAGTGCGATTAACTTAACACGCATGCAATATCACAAGAGAGAAGATTTTGTTACATTTCTGAAACATCTACAATTCTAAATCATACAATTAGCAAATACAGTACTGGTCGTTCAGTAAGAACGATCTATATGTTATTGGTTAAATTTTTTACAACGACGCAGGGTCCCGCACGGCCGGCCTTCAGAGGAGCGACCTTCAAACAGAAATACGTTTAAAAAGTACATTTACATTTACCTTTGCACCGTATTGAATTGCAGGGATAGTTTATACACTCACAGGTTCCCACTCGTTAAGATGCGGATCGTAGGCTTCCACTAGCGTGAGATATTGCTGCCCGTCGTATCCTCCTACGGCCATAAGTCGGTCCCCTAACACGCACACACCAACCGCGTCCCGGGGCACACTCATTGGCGCAACCATAGTCCACGTATCGGTTTTAGGATCATACCTATGTTGTCATATCGCATTACATATACAGTACCGGTTAAAATTGTATCACCTTCAGGTTTTCTGAGCATAACTTTCATCAAAGTATATCAAATGTGCTCAAAATTTTACAGTGGACACCTGACAACAGGTGCACCTTGCAAAGAAATTTGACAAAATACACTATGATTTTCGAATTTTTCACTCGTGCACTTTTAAACTATGTAGTTATGCTCAAAAAATCAAAAGGTGATATGATATCGGCCGATACTGTAAACTCGAAACATTTTAACATATAACGTAATGGCGGCTTCGCACCTTTCTACACAGTCGAATCTGCTGGCGTTGGGATTGCTAGCCGGAGCGTCGTGACCACCGAGTGCGTAAAGACAACCGTTTACCACTCCTACGCCTACGCCGCCTCGCCTCTTCGACATAGGCGCGCACGGTGTCCATTTGTTTGTATGCGGATCGTAACATTCTACAGTATTTAAGCAGGAACTGATATCTCTCCCTCCTACGGCGTACAATCTAAAACGCCGTAAAAGATTGCATCAAGTTCTCGTCTAATAAGCTTAAATAACAGTTAAAATTAAAGTTAAAGGACGAAATGTAAGTTTGATGATTTATCTGTAAAAACTTACTTGTCGTTTAACACAGCCACACCGACTGTGGACCTTTGTATGGACATAGGACATATTGAGCTCCACTGACGCGTCGCCGGGTCCCACCTCTCTACTGCATCAAGGAAACTCCAACCGTCGTGGCCGCCAACAGCATATAAAGGTCCACCTAGGACTGCCACTCCTAAGAAAGCCACGTTATTTGCCAGTGTTTCATTACGAATAAGTGATATGAATTGTACACGGACTCAACAAACTCTCTCGTATCGGCGCATACCTAATCCGTGACGATGAACGTTCATAGGCGGTAGAGTGCTCCACGTGAGGGTGGAGAAGTCGAAGCATTCTACCGTGTTGAGCGTTTTCAAGCCGTCCCTGCCGCCCGCGACGATCAATTTCTTATCGACTACCACCGCGCCAAATTGCAATCTTCTGCTGCTCATGGCAGCCAGAGATCTCCAGGCGTTATCGCGCAGTGAAAATGCATCTATAGAGGTCGCACCTAGAAAGTGCGTTTCCAATTATCTCGCTTGAAAAGACTAGGATAGTGTAACATACGTTTTCGTTTTACACCGATTGCGATCGATTATCGACTGCGTAATTAATATTAAATAATTCATATGACAGATCACCCTTATTGGCGTCCATCCCCCCGACAACCAACAACGTGCCCACAGTGGCTTTCCTGGGTTTCGTTCTGCCCGTTTGAAGCAACGGTCTTCGCTCGGGCAGCAAATGGTACTTTAACGCTTCCATTACCAATTCCTGCGCCATTCTTTGGTCTTTGAACATCTCGTTACTCTCAATGTTGTCGGCTATAAACTGTTTTGATTTATTTAGTTGAGCAAGCTCTACTGTGTCAGGAAAAGTTGGGCTGCCGATAAACTTACCGCGGGCGATAGCAGCGGTAATTTGACTAAACCTAACAATTTACTGGCGTCCTTGCTCCTGTTTTCTGGATCGTGTTCCAGCCAAGTCACTAGAGCCTGAAATAATAACGACTCTATTTATCTCAGCTCGGGTATATTTTAAATGCACACATGAAATATTTATTTATATATCAGTGTCAGAGTCTCCCAGCCCTGATGATGCAAAGTCATTACGACTGATTTATTTATATAATTAGAAACGTTTCCAATAAATGGCGTATGAAAATTGTAGCATCTTCTTCGTAATATTTCAATATAAATTTCACTCGGCGAACAGTTTCTCTTACATGAAAGATAGTTTCTTCGGAGGGAACATTGAGGTCCTCAGACTCGAGCAGTTTGGCAACTTCGTTGGCAGATAGCAGTAGGAATTCTTGATTTTTTGTGACCTCCATGAAGTGTTTGGTGGTATACGCGTGCGCGTGTTCAAACAATTCCGCACAGCCCTGTGTATCGGCGAACATGCGTATGCCCAGGCAGTTGCTCGGATGCAGTTGCTTGACGAGGAACTGACAGCACGCTTTGATGACCGGATTCAATTGTAACAGACATGCTGTCGCGAGCAGAGTCTCCACGCTGTCCTCCTGCAGTTCTATGCAGCCTGCGAATACACAAGAATGTGTTGTTAACAAAGAAGTCGAGGCGTTAACGAGAACAGCTTGAAAAATATCTGGCGAGTGCCTTCAGTAATATACGTTAATATTCTTGACGCGTCTTCACGAGCAGAATTACCTGTATAACAATAGAGAACCAAAGCCCACAACGCGTCTCCGTCGACATCCATCAATTCTATCTCGTTCTGCGCCGACTCTCGCAGGGAGCTCGTGAACATGGCAGCAAAGTATTCGGAGCCAGCACTGAGGACCAATCGATGAGCTGGGACACGCTTGTTTCCTGAGAAAACCACAAGAAACAAATATGAGCAATGGAACGCGAGTTAAACCGAGCGCGAAGACTATGCTGTATACAGAATATATTCCCTTTGTTCTTTCGAAAACCTTGAATAACAGCGAATCACTCTAGGGAAGGGAGCTCCAGTGACAACTTTTAATAATATAACGTTTTCGGTGCGCCAGAGCGTTCTTTATCCTCAACATCAAAATCATTATTTTTAAAGCGTCCAAACCAATCTCTGCATGTTGTTTCCGACAGAGCATGGTCGCCGTAAAGCCTTGTGTCCATGATCCAAGAACTGTGTCCAAGTTCTAGTTCCAAGAAATGCGTAGCCAATCAACTTGCGGCTTATCCACAAAAGATACAGGTCGATTGGTTGCACATTTCTTGGGACTAGAACCTGGAGACAGTTCTTGAATCGTGGACACAAGGCTTTAGTCTCCATAAGAATTCTATGTGCTGCAGATTTTTTTTAAAAAAGTAGTGCAGTAAAATTCTACGCACTCTTTTTTGGCACAAAATTCGACATGCTCAACGTTATGAAAAACCATGTTGTTTACACTTCGGCGGAATGACTTAAGTCCAAGATCCAAGAACTGTGTCCAAGTTCTAGTTCCAAGAAATGCGTAGCCAATCAACTTACGGCTTATCCACAAACGATACAGGTCGATTGGTTGCACATTTCTTGGAACTAGAACCTGGACACAGTTCTTGAATCGTGGACACAAGGCTTTAGTCTCCATAAGAATTCTATGTGCTGCAGATTTTTTTGAAAAAAGTAGTGCAGTAAAATTCTACGCACTCTTTTTTTTTGGCACAAAATTCGACATGCTCAACGACGGAATGACTTAAACCTTGTGTCCACGATCCAAGAACCGTGTCCAAGTTCTAGTTCCAAGAAATGCGTAGCCAATCAACTTGCGGCTTATCCGTAAAAGACACAGGTCGATTGGTTGCACATTTCTTGGAACTGGAACCTGGACACAGTTCTTGAATCGTGGACACAAGAGAACGGCTCCCGTCCACTTCCACCGATGCAGATTGACTTTAATTATCGGCTCAACTTTCCTCTCTCAGCCATCGTCCCTCTGAGTCATCGCAATTCCACCGACAGGTGCATTGTTATGAGAACAAAGGGCTCGAGCACACTCACCCGCGATCAGCGTGACGTCCGTCAGCTGTTGCTTGTGCAGATAACTCTCCATGATCCGCAGGCTGCTCTCCGCGTGTTTCGGCGAGATGGACACGCACGACATCATGCTGGAGATGCTGTGCTCGCTGGCGTCTTTGTCCAGGCCCAGCGGGAATTCCTGCTGCTGCTGCTGCTGCTGCTGCTGCTGTTGCTCGCCTTTGTTCGCGGCTCTCGCGGGAGAGCCTCCCGCCGCTCTCGACATGCTCACCCGCGGCCGCGTTCCTTGTTGCGGCGAAAACGACGAGAATGCGGCCGTTCCTCAGGTCCTCGGGGCGCGACGAGGCCCGAGACGCCTGCCGATGTAAACAATGGATCGCGTTCAACAGCGGTCAACGACCGTCGCCGTCCGTCCTGCGGGTCAGCGCACTCGGCACTGACTGAACTGACTGCGCCGACCGCTCCGCGGCGTCGCGGCTCGGTACGTCCGCTTCGCTCAGCTTGGCTCAGCTCCGCGCGTCACACGGAAGCTAAACAAAGAGCCAGGCGTTGCACGGCCGCCCAGCGTGGTGGTAACGAGAGCGCGTGGACTCGCGGAGTTGCATACGCGTCGCATCGATCTTTGCTCGTTTGTTTTTCTTTCACTCTGAGGGGAAATTGTCTACTCCAATTTTTGAAATTGTCCACTCGAGTTTTTATTTCTTTACCTTCAACGTGGTTCTGAAAGTTTTATAACACACTGATATTTAACTTCGTTTACTTATAAACAATCATATGTATATGAAATATTACGCAAACATTGTATAAACACCTGAATATAATCAATCTTTGAAGATAAACTTACTGGTTTACATGCTTACCTGAGGAGAAATGAAAAGTCAAGATGACGTCAATTTGATATATTGACCAAAATATGACATAATTTTATATATAATAAAAAATATGACATTGGACAATGACATCAAATTGATATCATCTTAATTGATTTTAATTTCTCCTTGGGTAAGCATGTAAACAAGCCAGTTGATTTTCAAAAAAGATTGATTTTACTCCCTCAGGATAAACTCAGGTAAAGGTGCGGACTGCAATAGTGGACTTCGTTGGATAGAAAAAAATCCTTCGGACAATATGACATCAAATTGATATCATCTTAATTGATTTTAATTTCTCCTTGGCATGTAAACAAGCCAGTTGATTTTCAAAAGATTGATTTTACTCCCTCAGGATAAACTCAGGTAAAGATGCGGACTGCAATGGTGGACTTCGTTGGATAGAAAAAAATCCTTCGGACAATATGACATCAAATTGATATCATCTTAATTGATTTTAATTTCTTCTTGGCATATAAACAAGCCAGTTGATTTTCAAAAAGATTGATTTTACTCCCTCAGGATAAACTCAGGTAAAGGTGCGGACTGCAATAGTGGACTTCGTTGGATAGAAAAAAAGATCCTTTTTTCATTTTGACTCCCATTCTCTCCTCTTTTCTTTCACAAACGCTGCGCACGTGCACGCGTGTGTCGCGTATCTGTGCACTTTGCTGGTACTTTGCGTTGGAAGTATGTAAATCAGAAACCGGTCGTTTATCCATTAAACACAAAGTCTACGCGAGTGTTCCGCGGACCTGAAACCGGATTTACTGACTTTAAAACACGAGATGAAATTGGCATGGATTTTATTTTTCATAACATTGCGCCGACCAGTTTAAACTGCGTCCTTTTACTTGCGCTGCACCGGAAACCTTGGACGATCATTTCTGACTCCTGTTTTTAGACTGCGAGTTTAGTCACACTTCTTAGCGAAAAAAAAAGATCTTTAACGTGACTAATGCCAAGCGACGTTGATTACCTTGACCTATTAAAATTATTCACATTAAAACAATTATAAAATTTATTTATACATATATGTCATTCAGTGGCACATTATTTCTGTAAAATTAAAGAAAACTATTCGCCTAATTATATCAAAGACACATTAATACAGAAACAATAGAGTATACATCAGATATTAAAAAGAAGATATTTATTATACTTCAATGTAAATATAAATATATTTCTATGGATAAAGTTACTTTTGTGCGAGTTCATCTTGATTTCCAATAAACAATTAATTTGTCAGCGAATTGTCACAAAATTGACATCAAATTCGCTCAAACTTGATGCCAATTACCGTAGCATCTGTGTCCGCGATCAGCTCATGTTTTGCTGACAAAATTTGCAAACACAATTTGCGAACAGCAAATTAACACCAAAAAACCAAGGTTTGCGCGATAGTTTGATGACAGCAAATAATCGCCAAATCCTGAGCAAAGCTTGCTCGGCATTTGACAATTTGTTGTCACAGCCGTATGGCAGCATATTTGTATTTTGGACAATTCTGTTGGCAATTTATCAAATTTAGTACCTTTGTTCATAAACATTTAAACAAGCACCTGGCAAAACTTGCTTTAGCAAGTGTGGCTCTATCTGGGTTTTTAATGTAGGACACATATGCGTCAAAATCAGAACTATGCTATCATAATCATTAATTAAATAATTTATAATATTCATAATTATATCAGTTTTATGCGGAATAGGCTTATAGCTGTTTGATGTACACATAACTGTATGTGTGTATGTGTACGCACACACACAGAGTTCAATCACTTGGGTAATTTTTACTTATAGATTATATATTACATATTATTTGACAACTTTGGTACACGACGCTGAATTGGCTTATGTAACAATTAAGCTGCAATTCTTATATGAGTTTTCTAATTACTTTACTTTTTCCAAGAATATTATTTGCTGATCAAGAACAATGTATGTCACACAGATTCTACCTGGGTTCTGAAAGTGTAAGGTATGTTTACGGTAACGAAGTACAATGATAAATCTACATATAATTGTATTATACATGCAAATGTACAAGAACTTTTTCGACGAAATACTGTACATGAATTTTCAGCCTATCATCGGTTGCTAACAAGGAGAGAATCAAAAGATTCCGCTGAATGCTCGTTTCTTGATACATTCGTTTATACTTCGCAACACTTGTTTTATGTATTTTTAACATGTTGGCGAAATGACTCAGTCAACGTGTTGGAAATCAATGAATCGTTAGGAGACATTCTGTAGAAAATAATCTAATTTTGGTTCTTCTGCAGCAACCAATTATGTATCTTATTTCCATTAAAAATTAAAATAAAAGGATAACCTAATCAATCATATTATTATAATAAACAGTTTTGTAAAATAATACATAAATTAAACTTAAATGGCAGTAACAGATGTGTCACGCGTGGCATAAATGTGTCGCGATTGTCGAATAAATTTGCTAACATTTATAAATGTCCATGAAAATGCTTCATCCATCCGATTGCAACATTCAATTACAACTAACTTTTTACTTAAACGCTGTCGGATGATTTATTTTTCAATGTTTAAGAAAGATCGAAACTACGTTAACAATAAAAAAATATTCATTTTTACTCTGTAAACGGGAAGCTTCTCATTTTTAAAGAACTTTTAAAAATTGTTACATCTTTTCTAATGTTCATAATTTTCTTCGCAAAAGTACAATCTTCACAAATTACATTAAAAAAAAAGATTATAGTGTACAATACAAAAATTATATTGCACATAATTAATTTTTCTTTTGTTTGTTTCTTTTAATTAATTTTCTTTGTTGAAATTCAAATCGAAGCAAGAAATTGTAAAATTAAACTAAGGATGTTGATGCAACAGACTTAATGTCGTATCCATAGTCGCACCATAACACCTCCAGGTGCTCTTCGTTAACGCACTAGACGCAGATGGCTCCGCCGCATACTTGCTCGGATTTAGTTGAGGATTCCGACTCTGAAAAGGACCCGTAAAAGGGCCTTTTCCGACAACAGCAGAACCGATCGAGCAACTCCGACAGGTTGCTTCTCTCGGAGTCGTCCCTGAAGATGCCGCTCGACGCCTCATCCGTGCATGGAGCTATAAAAGTCTGCAGGTCGTTCTTCGGGAAACCCTCGCGATAATAGATCTTGATCGTGTCGTACGCATCCATTATCACAGAAATGAACAAACTTAGGACAACGTAAATGTACAGCGAGATGAACGAATATAAATAGATTCTAGAGTACCACCACAGCACAGCCGATTTGGAAGACGTGATGGAGAACGTGGCGAACATATCGTCGCCGTTGATCAAGGCAAACAGGCACTCGGAGGTGGTCGCGAGCGAGCGGAACTTCATATTGTACGGACCGAGCACCAGCCAGCCGCAGAATGTGAAACCGGCGTAAATGAGAATCGCGCATATCAGGAATCTCGCCACCTTTGGCGTCGCCTTCTTCAGAGTCAGAATGACGACGTTGTACGTCTTGAAGAAACCGAGGTAGCGCAGCACGCCGAACCACACGAGCAGATTTCCGGTCCCGAGAAATATACTGCAGATATTCCAGTGATCGCTCTCGGAATGTTTCCGTTCGATTTGCTCCTTTATGACGGTACCGATGATAATGAGGAGATCGTTGATGATGATCATGATGTACCAGAAGTTCAAGAATTCCAGTCGACCCTCGAGGCTTAGCGTCGTACCGTACGTCTTCTTGAAGAAGTTAATAGTCTCGAACTTGAGCACCTGCGCCCTGTATATCGCCCGCGAGCACAACAGCAGAGAGATCGTGCAGATCAGTATGACGAGCAAGTTGAGCAGTGTCCTCAGCGCCGACTCGATGCGATTGTCCGTGATGTAACGGGTGTCGCCTTTGCACTGCAGCTTCCTAGCGTCGGCGTCTAACGAGAGCAGCATCTGTCCGTCGAAATCGCGGTTGTCGAAGATCACCTTGATGTTGAAACGGTAACAGTCGGGCGGCGACATTGGCCCGGCCGCTTTCAGATTCACTGTCTTCAGCGCAAATTTCAGGTGGGCGCGCACCAGCGCGGAGAAATTCACGTTGATATCTCTATCCTGCAGAAGACTGTGCGACGAGTTGAACGTGTGAAAGGTCTCGAGACTGATGTTCATGCACGTTTCCACAATCTCGCTGTCGAACACGTAGCTCTCGTTGAAGCCGAATATGATGCCCTCCTTGTAGTGATAAAGACACATGGTGACGGGACCGACCGAGTTATCTTCGGCGATGTAGGAGTACGAGCCGATGGCGTCGTCGACGTTGTAATAACCGTGCAGAGCGTAATCGATAGCGTCGAAGAAATCGCTCTGCTTGTAGATGGCCAACGGCCCAGTCGCAGGTGGATACGCAGGTACCTAAGGCATTTACGAGTGTTACAAGTTTATATTTATATGCCTAGTATTTGACGCGATAAAATAGAAAAGAAAATTAATCCAAATAACAATTTGTAGGAATAAAGGATATAAGAGCCAAGACAGAACGTTAGTGTCTAAATGATTTTAAACTTATTGCGAAAAATTTTAAATCATTTAAATACTAACATCTTGCCTGTTATATTCTTTACTCTTTCGAAAAGCGATTTCACATCAAAGTCTTATGAATTGTTTGCAATCCAAATAACTTCGTATTACAAAATTATGGCATACAGATGGTGTAAATTAAGACACAAAGCGAATGCAAACGATCATTTCAGCTCGCTTCTAAATCTATTTTGTTATATGTTAAAACACTTAAAACCATTATGTACAACACGAAGTATCTTTCATGCTGTTTTCATCTCCCATTAGACAAATGAAAATAAAAATACCATCTCGATTTATGAATACGCGAATGAAACGCGAGCCAAGCTACATACCTCCTGAGCGGATTCCCATCCCATTAAAAAGAGATGGGAGAACGTGACTCGGTTGTCCCAAGTGTAATTCACGTGCATATAATTGTTGTGCGCGAATAAACAGAGCTGCACGGTAACGAGAATGATCTTGATAACCTGGACGACGAACTTGAAGGGGAATCGCCGTTTCGCCTGCCACTTCTCCACCGGATTCATGAAGAAGAATCGCAGTTTGCGCCGCATTTTCTCCTCCGCGAACGTCGTGACTGGGCAAGTCTTGCATTCCAACGGAGTAGAATGATTTCGCCTGCGATACACAAGATGCATTTTATCTTCGTTGTTTCGCAGTATTATCTATGGGATGTTTTACAGTTAATATCAGAGCTACCTAGAGCCAAATTTCGTAATAACGTTCAATGTTTTTGGAAAAAGACGTAATGGCTTTTATCAAAGACAATTTTTACCATAACTACACTTATTCTTAGTAATAATTTATTTCCGCCAGTTTTTACTCATTTTTTCCTTCTTCGTTGGTCTTACATTTTTATGATTAAAGCCAACGGCACGCGATACTATTTTTCCTACTGAATTGCTTAACGTGAACCAATAAGGATGCGGAGTTTTACATCAGGTGACTTAGGGCTAAATCCTGATAATACGGGAATAAAATCATTCTTTTCTACTCATAGAAAATTCAATCGATCGTGCATGCAACGCTGTGGGTCTTTTATTGAAATATCTAGTTTGTGATAATGACGACATTTCCGTGTATGTTAAGAATGGTTACGTTGAAACGTGATAACACATACCATTACAGCTCGCGGAGATCATAAGTATTCACGTAGGTGCAGCATGGTAAAATATTTTGTAGATAGTGACTTTCTGTTGATCGATCATAAATTATATTAAGTAAAAAGAAATTCCATATCTGCTGATATCTATCTTATCTCTGAGAATGCGACGGCCAACGAATTAGAAGCCAACTAGATTACGTACAGGCAGATCGTATAATAATTTCTATTGAATCACGAGACACGGTAGTGTCTCGTGCCAAGTATAAGCGTGGCTAGAATATTAATATACACGAGCGTAATTGTGGAATTATGTCATGTAAGAGATTCGGGGCAAGTTATAGTTAATTTAACGAAAACGCTTGGCGGTAAAGAACGAGGGGGAAACCGCTGACCGAAATCTTGTACACCAATGCCCACCAATGCCCAGTGGGCATTACTTAATCTTATTTATCTTATTTGATCTTTATAATGGCCTAACGCCCAAACTAATGCCCAAAAAATGCCTAGTAATGCCCAGTAATGCCGCAAATCTGTACACCACAATGCCCTCAGCGGTTTCCCCCTCGGTAAAGAATGATGAAATTATGAGCTTTATGTCTCTCGTTAATTATGTTATCTACGTGCCGGACAAGCAAATGCTTTTTAGGGCCTGGGTACCACATAGACTTACACAAATAGACTGCGCAGGCCGTGAGAAGAATTGAAGACTACATTAAAGTGAGAGAGCACACGGAAAAAAATAATTCTGCTGCGATAGCAAAATCGCCGTTGCTACTGCATATTCGTAGTAATAGCAATAAAGTTTAGTTGACACAACTAATTTTATGAATTATTCGTCATTATAGCAAATTCTGTTTTGTTGCGAGAATAGAAAAAGTTTGCCGAGTGTATTTGTTTCTAAAATCACATTAATTTGCTACTAAAGTAAAACAGTACATTCTTAGCAAATGTATTTGCTGTCTTAACAGAACTATTGCTCTTAGAGCAGATCTATCATGATGGTAATGCATGCGGCTGGCTTCTGATTGGTCGACACGCACTGTCGCTAAATTGTCGTTAGTTCCGCAGTAATGCGTGGTAGCACCTATTTTAATAATAAAGTTCAAGGATTGAATCATCGTTGGCGCGAAAGCGGTATTGCAAGAGGTATTGTTCTCTAGGCGTTTGTGATTTGTCCAATTCTCTGATTTCTATGAGTACTCAGTACTGTTACTCAGGACTATTGTCGGTTACTCCGCTACGAGTAAAGACATGAATAATGATTCGAGACCTGCTTGAGAGTTGGGATGTGCCCGGAGAAGTTATATCAACATTTATGGATTAGTTGTACAAATCATGAATCTGATTAACGTATTCTTTTGAATTCAGCCAAAATTAAGAGCATACATCATATTCACTAATTTTACAACAGTTGCAAAGCAGCTTTTTCTGCTGAACGCAGCTATTCATTGAAAGTATATCATTGTTGCTGTAATTGCAAATTCAATTAGCTCATGCAGCTAATAAAAATATTCCTCTAGCAAAGTAATTCGTTTAACACCACAAACGCGTTTTGCTTACGCAGCAAATTAAGTTGTTCTTTCAGCCAACTATTTGTTTAATGTAGCAAACGTGTTCTGCTTATATGACAGAATGTATTGTTAATGTAGCAAATTAATATGATCAAAATCTAATTTGCTCTCACAACGAAATAATTTGTCGATCCAGCAAATTATATCCGGCAAATTGCGATTAGTATTCGTAACAAATCTTCTTGCTATCCATATAGTAACGAACAGATTTTGCCACAACGGTATAAAATCTGTCGCGCCAGAACATTATTTTTCTCCGTGCCTGAGCGAGTGCGTCTTTGTTAAATATGCGTTGTTTTTCCCCCACTCTTAATAAAGAACGAGAGATAAGCTCACGCAATATTTTTATCCTCCAGTGTAGTTTTCAGCGCGCCCATAAGAACGCGCAGTCTATTTTTCGTATAGAGGAAAGTCCTTTATTATAAGATAGATTTCTAATATGAGATAGCAGGCTTTCAACACTCAAATTCAATCACAAATCTGTTTTTCGCAACGATTGCACAATCCAACAATGAATTTTCCACTAAACAGATTTCTCACCGAGGACAATAAACTTATGGTGGAATCAACTGATGAAAACAGCCAAAACTGTGCGAAAACAGTCGAACGACGCAACGCTATCAACATTTTATTGTAACGCGAACGAGCGGAGTTCACTCGGTCGTGTAACAAAGAAACGTTAACGATACCAGGTCTGTTGTGCCCCATCGACCTACATTATCAATGCAACTTAATAGTACTCGTGATAACGGGCGGACTGACTTCGACGGATGAATAATTCCGATAAGCTCGCACGGACCTCTGGTCGCTGGCCTCGTTGAGCAATGTGTTCTCGCTGATGATCTCCTCCTCCTCGCTGTCGTTACCGTAGCTCCAGGTGTGATTCTGCAGCCTGTTCCCAGCCGAGGTGTCCTCGCGCTGGGTCCTCTTGTGCGCTTCCATCCTGCGACACGATTCCGAGAGTCAACGGCGAGCAGCGAGCGCACGTGCGAGTGTCAACAAGCGAGCGTCGTCCTAGCCCACGGAGTCGTCGCCGTCGTCGCTCCACTCCCCGATCGACGATGGAACATCCAGCTGTTCGCGCGTGTGGATCTACGTGCAACGTGCCAGTCGGAACGAGTGTTGCGAAAGTTGACGTCATCGCGTTGATAGATTAGACCTGACGTACCTGAGCGCAACGCGTATTCGGTAGCAGACGCAGCGACGTCGAATCACCAGCAGCCATCGCACGCTATCCACCTCGACGCAGCGACCGAGCTCGACTGCGCTCGACCGAGCGACGACGCCGCGCGCTATTGGCCCACGAGGCGCCGCCGCCGATTGGCCGCCGGCCGCCGCGGAGGGGAGGCGGCGAGGATGGATATGACGCAAGTCGCACTTCTCGTTCTTCCGTTGAGTTTTAATATCGCCGAGCCGAACTTGATTGCGGCTCGACGAATCAGCGAGATCGCGATGATTGATTTAATGTCCATTTCTGCCAATGCAGAGACTGGCTTCGATCTCGGCTTAATTTTCCTTTGATCTTTTCCAGTTTTAATGTCCGTTTCCACCAGCGCAGTTTAACCTTGATCTCGGTTTTCGACTTACTTTATATCTTTTTCTAGTTTTACGAATTAGAAAAAGGTCAAAAGTAATTTAAACCGAGTTCAAAGTTAATCTGCATTGGTAGAAATGGGTATTAGAGTTGCAAAAAGATGGAAAGTAAATTAAACCGAGATTAAAGTTGATCTGCATTGGTGGAAATAGACATGAGAGACTTTGGCCCGTATTCTGCACCCTCTTTTGTCAATAAAAGCGCCTGTAAAAATGGCTAATGTTCTGTTATGCGGTCCGTAACTTATCCTGGTATTATTTTGTGCATAAAAGCTAACAAAAAGAATTACAAACGCAAACACTATATTTGACTGTGTCGGTAAAAAAGATGGGTGAGGGATCCTCTTAACTGTTCCTTTCTGTCTATCCCGTATTCTTATATCTTCTCTTTACTCTGCCTTTACAGTTACTTGTTCTCTGGTCTCTATTAGTCGCCTCTTAGGATACAGAAGGCTAGCCTAAAATAAATAAGCTTTCTGATTGGCTACAAGCCACTTTTAGAGGCGTTTTTATCGACAAAAGAGGATCAGAATACGAGCCATACTGGACGGTATTTTCGTCGTTACTAATTTGTTATTAATTCATAGTCAGATCTTATATATTCAAGACCGTCTTAAGATCTACTCCGTAGCCAATGAAATGTTCCAT